GTGTGTGTGTGTGTGTTGTTCTTCAGGTGTATCTGAGGCTGAGCAACCCTCCAGGTGCTTCAGAGCAGCAGAGGGCACCATCGCGGAGGCTGAGCTCAGTCTGCAGCACCACGGCCCCAACGCAGCCTCTGCTGCAAAATACATCTGATGTCTTCCTGGACTACGTTTAACACACACACTCTCATCCTTTCACTACAACCGCGCGCACACACACACGGCCCCATTTTGAACAGCATTATCCTTTCAAAGTAAATCCCAAATGGTGGCCCTCCTGCAGCTCACACGCTGTACACACGAGCACTCAGCCTCTAACGGCTCGCGGTATCGATCTCTGCGGTAGGTATTTCAGGTGCACGTCTATATAAAGCAGACTCCAGCACTAACGGGCCATCAGATACATCATCACCCATCAGCAGTGGGAGGAGCGTTGGCTCACACTTAGCCTTAGATTACATCTTAAGATGCTTTGGGGACAAATAAAGCCTGAAAGTACATGTACATATATGACGAAGAGGAGACGATGTCTGAGTGAGGAATAAATGAGCAGCGTTCGTTACTGCAGATCACATTTTGTGTAAGAGTTGCTTCACATTGTACAGGATTGGATTTAAGATTTTGGGTGATATAAATGTTTTTTTTTCCCTTTTCTTCTTTATCACTCTCTTGGCAAAAATATTCCCCAAAATAATAAATCCTGAGCTGGTCATTTTCACTGGTTAAGTAAGAGATTGTTGTTTTTTTTTTAAATAGGCCTTTGAACAGTGTCTTTCAAAAGAAACCGATGAGCCATAAAAGCAGCATGCAAGCAGTTATCCAGAAGAGAAATCAACTTAAAGCCATACGTCACGCAAACACTGATTCCCACCTGCGTGCTGTAGCTTCAAATACTGTGAATAACTGGTTTATTGCTGTATAAATATATATCATGGATTATCCCTTTAGCAAAGGCCAAGACTTTAGGACTGACTGTGTGCTTTTTGTTGTCATGTGTATGCAATGTAAATATAATAGAAATGTGCCTTTAGATGTGTTTTTTTTTAACACTGAATGCATTATTTCCTGACTGTTAGTGTGTTAATGTGGGGAAGATGGGCGTAAGAGAAACTCCACACTATGGTTTTGAGATACTTGCAGTTTTGATACAGCTGGTTGACTTGTAATATTAAAGAAAGCACCTGTGATGGTAAAAACATACAGTTCCAGTTTCCTTTGTCAGCTCCTGTATTTAGGTATAAAAAGATCAAATGAATACTGGAGACATTTTTCAATATGTTAGAGGGATTTCTGTTGACAAATTGCACTTAACACGGCCCTTCACTTGCAGATCATCATGAAGGTCTCTCTAGTAAGATACATCGAAAGAGCCCAGGAGTACCTCAAGGATGTGTACAAAGTCCTTTAATCTTTACTTTGTTGCCACATATCTGTAATGCTAAATTCACAGTGTACAAAACAGCTTGTTGGGTGGGGGTGGGGTGTGTGTGGCTGGGTGCTCTGCTGCAGACTGAGCTCCAGAGAGGAGCTAGGTACAATAGGCAGTGTTTTGTACCAACAAGCGTTTAGGCAGCTCCACATGGCTACCACAGGAGATTCAAGGATTTCTCAAACATGCATGAACAGAAGTCTCAAGTAACTAAATACAAATACTCAGTTACCTTACTAAATAGAAATTTTGCTTATTTATACTTAAGTGGATTATTTTGCGGCCAACTTTTTACTTCTACTCTTTACATTTTCATGCAATTATTTGTACTTTCTACTCCTTACAATTTAAAAATGCCATACATGTTTAATTTGTATTATACTTCAGCTTGTTTTCATTCTAGCTTGTCATTGTTCAGAAAAATAGAAATAAATAGAAACCCATTCAATACATGGAGCCCTTGGATGGAGTGAATTTAATTGTAGTTGGATGAGAAGCAAAAATATATTTCTTTCCAACACCCTATTGGATTGGACGCAGTCCATCACACCTGTATGAAACGAATCACGCCACATTCCAGCAGGACATTTCAGACACGTGACCTAGAATGAAAATGTTTGTGGCAGAGATATGTTGATGAAACAGGTAGTCTGGTCACTGAATTCCAAAGTTTTCAACATTAACATTTTAATTTAACATCATACTCATTATTGAGTATAATTTTTATTATTGAAAAGAAAATTGAGGGAGATGGTTGTGCACTATAGACCCCTGTGGTGCAGCCTAAGCTTTTATCCTTAATGGCTTTTCTTTTAAACTTACGTTTACTTTCATACTTTAAGTAGCTTTAAAACCAGTACTTTTATGTTTTTGAGTAAAGACCTTAAGTTGATACTTTTACTTTCAAAAAGCATTTTAAAACCCTAGTATCTATACTTCTACTTAAGTAATGAGTGTGAATAGGTTTGACACCTCTGTGCATAAATGAATCAAAGCAACACTTTGTATGTTTTTGATATTGGAAAAACATAACATGATACAGACCTAAAAAATGTTGGTTTTACATTTACATATGACACAACAGTGATAAAACTTACCAGGGTTTATTAGAAAACATCTAAGGAGGAAGCGTTGAGAAAAAAATCAGTGAGAATTACTTACCTCAAACATATTAAAAAAGGACATTTCAGTCAACTTTAAAGTGTATTTCTACTAAATAGTTTTCAATAATTTCTGGGTGATGATGGTTGTCCTCTGTCCAAGTTCCCACATTTGGTTCTCCTCTCAGTTTTATTATAAGTATGAAAAAAGTGACCAATAAATAAATAAATAAATAAATAAAATAAAGTCCTTGGTAAAAACATGTCAAAGCCTAAAATAAATCAGAGCAGAGATACCATGTTTTGTATTTGCAACTGTTTTTAATTTCATCTTGACCAAGAAAGGACAGGGAGGGTTATAATATTTGCAAACATTTTGCTTCAAAATATTGATTATTATTATTACATTTGACTTTGGGGTAGATGAAGGAGCACAGCTGAGCAGGAGAAGGGATATACATACGTACAGTACAGGTAAGCATAGCACCATTTTACACTGAATACTGGTGTTTTTAGCTTTGTGTTTGTGTACAGAATTATACTAGACTTCTAATAAAACAGTGTTTGAAAAAAAGGAGATGACTGGTGCATCGGACTGTGTGGAAATCAGGGGCGAAGTGGGGGGGGGGGGGGGCTGTCTTATCAATGCCATCCCATATCAAATATCCAGGACTTCACTATTCAACAGCTTTCAAATCCTTTTTTTTTCCCCAAGCAGATGTCAAAACACACATTATTGGAAAACTAAACATCTGTAATGATGCAACATTCAAAAGTTTCTCACAATACAAAACCAGTAAATCAAAACAAAAACAAAAAGATTGTATTTCATATTCTACACGTGGAATCTTGTGGTGCAAATGATTCTCTTCCACATGGCTCCATCCTCTTCCTTCATAATTTAAAGTTACAACATCCATTAGTCTTTAAATCAACCTTTACATTCTTTGGGCTGGGTCATCAGTGGCACAAAATAAATCATTTCAGTACTACTCTTTAGAGGGACACAAAAAACTATAGTCTTTATTTGCTAGTGACAGGTGGAAGACCCTTGCTGTTAAAAACTATCCTACTTCTTATCTGAGGACAACTCAAGAATAAAATTGTTTAATCTGTATTTAGTTTATTTCTTCGTTTTTTTCTGAGGGTTAGTGTTAAATTAGAAGTCTGTCCTCGTTTTTCTTTTCTTAATTATAGCTTGATAGTAAACCAGTGCTCTGCATTGCCCAACATCCATACTCTTCCGGTCACACGTTATCTTTTTTTTTCATATGAAAATATAATGGGTTACAGTGACAGGTACCACACATGCAAAGTCTCTCACACAAGCCGAGCCGTCTCCCACGCAGGCTTACAACAATACACAGCTCTGCAAGAGGAGCACGGTTCTTGAAAATTACATTTTTAGATACTGCAACGCAAGAACTGATTGGCTATCTTCAGGGTGGGGGAAAGCCAATACTGACCCCGCCCCCCGAGCGATACAAGATCAAGGAAAGGAGATGCTATATTCACACACACACAGAGTCGCACACAAACGAGCGCCCACACACGCCATCTTTCCAACACTCAGACAAAACAACACATTCTAAACGCTCCTTTGCCAGCGATTACACTCCTCCACTCCAAGGCTTTTTTTTCAGTTTGATATGGCTTATCACTGTAGTACACACACTGAGCCAAGATCCATTACTGTCTTTACAGATGGACCGCGGCCCAGTCCTGGTTTCAACTGCGGTTTGAGAACTGAGAAATGAGTGAACCGGACTGCATGAGGGTTTTTTTTTTCTGAGGCCAAGAAAGAGGAAGAATGATGAATGACAAGGTAGACCAGGATAGACGTTGGTGGAAATCCAAACTTGCTCTGAGAAGGAGGTCAATAATTAGGTTTTTCTTTTCCTTTCTTTTGTCTTAAAAGCTCTATTTGTTTGTTTTTTTAACCTCATTTCTATGCGCTCATATTTTTTGCTGATGAAGAAAGAAAGGAAGCTTGTTTCTGTTTGTTTTTTAAAATCTAGGTCAAATATTTTCCCCCACTCAGGCACCACGCCCTTCACAACACAAGTTCCTCTGGTCTTTACAGCATCACTGTCTAATCCTTCCTGGTCTGGCTCCAGACTGAGGCAGAAGCAAAAACACTTTCCACATTCCTGAGAGGACAAGTACCATCCAGCAACTTCAAACCTTTTTTTTTACTAAGTCAAACGTTTTAAGACACAAGGGGCAACCAACCAACCAACCACACACACACTACAGATGCACTCATGCTCAGTCATGCACGCAAGGATTGTATTCTCAAAATAGTACACATTAGCCCACAGAATCACACCACAGATTACAAAAACTAGGTTCCAACAGTGATTTTCTTTACACAACCACATTAAGTGCTGAAGTTGTCAGGAGGTTGAGGATATACTGTTTTTTAGGGCTCTCTGACTGTTAAAAAATAATTCCTACTATATACACACGAATGACTTTTTTTTAGGGGTAATATCTGGAAAATATTTACGACTCTGAATAATCTAGATTTTAAAAAAAACATAATTCACTAAGTTATTGGCACTTGGAATCACTAAACCCGTCATACGTAGAGTAATCATCCTGCAAATAATTCAGTTTAACTGTAATCTAGCTTTTTGTCAAACATATTTTTTTATAATTACAAAGTTAAAAAATCCATTTTTGTCCTGGAGACACAGTGTTCAAAAGCAGCTTCCACAAAAACACCCAAGCCCAACCTTTTTTTTTTCTTAAAACACATTGACAGACTTTAAAGCCTCTTTCTGAACTTCTTTTTTAAAGAATGGGAAGGAAAGGGATATTAAAGAGCATCTCACTGCTCTGTCTTTGAACAGAAACCACTTAAAAGTAAAAATTCATTTGTCAAAAGCAACTAATAAAAGCTTACACAGTTATTCTTTCCATGCAATCATATAAAATACTACTGTTCTGTTTTCTGTTAGGCTATACTGAATATTTACAAATTGTCCTTTTTATGATACAGTAAATCTGTACAGTCGGTCCACTTGGAGACACCTTCACACAGAGTCTGTTGCAATAAAGTGTATCTTTTCAGGTCTTTTCAGACCCTGAAGCTCCCTCACGTTTCTGACGGAGACGTTATCCACCCTGAAAGCGCAGTGACGTTAGCTGGCGAGTTCCTCCTGAACTCACAGCCTTTCCTTATTCCTACAACTCATTTCTTTTAGATTAAGGAAGGGGAGGAAATGGTTTTTAGAAGGAAAGATGTTTGTGACAAACCCATCACAAACTTGTGCAGCAGTTGCTTCCACGCTGAAGTCGTGTTCCTCCAGGCTTCACTGCGGTTGGTTAACGCTGTCAGTCCTGTGTGACGATGGGGCTTTCTGCGGTTTCTGAGGCTGTGGTTTCAGCTGCTGCTGGTGCCTCTGATGGTGAGATTGTTGCTGCTGCTGCTGTCGTTGTTGCTGCTGCTGCTGTTGTTGTCGTTGCTGCTGCTGCTGCTGTTGTTGTTGTTGAGGCTGCTGCTGTTGCTGCTGCTGCGGTTGTTGTGGAAGTGTCGCCTGGGTGAACGCTCCCTGCTGCTGGAGAGGGAAAGCTGCCTGCAGAATCAGCTGAGCAGACTGGTTACTATGAAGAAGACGAGTACCCTGGCAGGAAATAAGTGCAATAATTTTAGAAAATGAAGCCAATCTTTCTCTTGTGATTATTTGAAAAGAGCTGAAATTTTTAAACACTCAGGTATGTTCAGAAAAGTCTTCAAATATCAAAGAAAATTGTGATCAGTAGTTCTAATTTTTTTATAATTGTTCTCTGTTTTATGAAATAAAACACAGATCAAAGAATTTCAACTTGTCACATATTCTTACCTGTAAGAATTGCTGTTGCTGCTGCTGCCCCTGCTGGCTGCTCTGTGCAACTACAGCTGTTTGGTTTTGGCCGTCTGGCTGACCTTGAGCTGGTTGGGCTGGTTGAAGAGTCAAAGTCTGGGTCTGCCCACTTTGCTGCAATGAAAAAGACAAAGAAAATATATTCTATTGGATTTTAAATGGACTCTAATAACATTTTCAGATCTATGATGAAACTCTGCTTAACATTATCATTATCTTACAATGAACCTGAAATTTTACCATAAAAACGTACAAACAAACAAACATACAAACAAACAAACATTAAAGATTAGCTTTTCTTCAGTGTTTTCACTCAATTTCAGGGACTTTAGTAAGGGTTTTTCCCATTATTTGCCTCAAATGTCTGGTATTCAACATCTAAACTTGACGTTTGTGTTCTATGTAAGTGTCTAATTGAGAAGCTCGAAGCGCTTGTTATTGTTGGTCCTAACGTTTATAGGAAATTGATTGCTCACAATTAAGTGTACTGTAGAGATTTTGTAAAATAAATGATCGCATTTATTTATGGATCAAATCAAAATTCACTGACTCACGTAACATTGTGTGTCCATTCACTTTGCACTGGAAGAATATTTTACCGAAAATAAAGAGATCCTTGCTAAAATAATATCCTTATAACATTGTTATAAGAGGTGTAGGTGTACTCCTACAATTATAACTGTATGTTTATCTGCTGTAAACTTACTTGCTGCCCTCCAAAGGGGTTGTATGCAGTCACCACCTGCCCCATGAACATAGAAGTGGGCACCATGACAGCGCTGCATGCATGCATTGGAGTTGTCACAAGTTTGGTCACCAGCTGCTGTCCTGCAGGAAACCTAGAAAGGATAAAATAAAAAATATATATATTATAATACTATTAAAGTATTGATTTTTTTGTGAGGATTAATAAAAACATTTACTTGGATTCATGCAAGAATTGCAGCAACTAAAGAACAACATTTCACTAGAATTTACAGCTCGACTGTCCTTTTCTTACCGGATTTGTCGGTCCTGTGTGAAGGTGGCCACAGTTGTGCCTTGCTGCGTGTTGTTCTGAGGCAGGCTGGTGCTGATCTGCAGCACATTGGGCTGTCCAGGTTGGGAAATCATCATGGTGTTGTACAGTGGGGCAGATACAGATCCTGGAGCCTGAGACTGAGCCTGGGCTGGCTGCTGCGGCTGACGCTGAGGCTTCAAAAAAGGTCAACAGAGTGCAACTTTATATTGGTTTATTTAAAATAAATTACATTTTCTTGAAACTGTGCATATGCTCAAAACTAAATAAATAACAAACGTCTCATAGGAGTCAAAGTACAGAAACATGAAGTTGTTTTAGTTTTAATCTGAACTTCAACAACCACAAGACAAGATTTGTGTTAAGCGAATGTGTCCCACCTGTGTGAGTGTGTTGGTCTGCTGCTGCAGGTTCTGCTGAGGAGGAGCAGCCTGCTGCTGAATAGTGAGCTGCTGAGTTCCTGAATGAACAGGGTTGATGGCGGTTTGCTGCAGCTGACCAGTCAAAGTAGCCGCTTGCTGGACAGAGCCCACCTGAGGGAGCTGAACGTTCATCGCTCCACCCTGCTGCTGCATCAACATCTGCTGGAGTTATCATACATCAGACGACAGGGGTTAAAGTATCTAGATTTACATTTGATTTTTCTTTTCTTTTGTTGTTTCTATTGCAAAATGTTTATAGAAATAAACGAACAATCCAGTGAAAGAAAATGTCTCTACAGGGTACAGAGATAGTCTGTTATTGCCATTTCAATAGCAGATAAATAATGCATAATGTAGTTCTCATCTAGGTCAGGCAAAATTAAATATGAGCAAAAATGCAAAATCAAAGCAAGCTGGCATTTGTTAAAAGACTGTTTAGTTGTGTTAAAACACAATTTTAACTACATTTGCATGTAGTGTTCACAACTGTATTATCTTGAACTTCTTGAACTGTAAAATTAATTTGCACTTATTTTTGAACATGAGTTATCTTTATACAATAAGGACTTGCAGCAGGATAATCTTGACTAAAACTGACAATGATATCATAAAGAAAGGCTCATTTATTTTATATAATGCTTGTACTACCTGTAGCCCTTGTCCCTGGACCCTCTGCAGCTGCTCTTGGATGTGTCTCAACTCCTCCTGCTGTCTCTGGATGTTTGCCTGGATCCTTCTGGTCCTCTCCTCCAGCTGCTCTTTAAGGTGCTGCATGGCGTTTACTTGTGCCGAAAACTCCATCACCGGCTCAAGGACAGACACAAAGGGAGAAAATTCACACTGTGTGCCTTTATGTTAACATGTTAACCATGTACATCAGGAAACCTCAAACATTTTTAATACTGAATACATCAGTTAGTCCAAATAACTATGTTTATCTGATCTTTTTTGGCTCCAGCTTTGAAGTAGTAGCTTTGGTAGCTCAGTATAGGCTCTTGGATTACAAAAGGGGCTGTGATTTGTCAATACATATAACTTTCTTGATTGGCCAAACAAGCTGATCCAATTTGTGTGATTAAAACTGTATTAATGTTGCTGAAGTAGAAGATATCTAACTGTCACCATTGTCTGCTCTTCTTCTTTGAAAGTGAGCAGCATGAATTGGTCAGTTTATTGGCTCCTGTAACTGCTGAATGTTTGTAGTGTTCATTCAAACACCGCTTTAAAAACTAAAGATCTAAAACATACAGCTCCCACTATGATGGTTTAGTGTTACATGATCTCAGGGTCCCACTGGCAGTGTGAAAACAAACAAGTAGGTCCCTGTAACCCACAGCGAGGACTTCTAATCATTAGGTCCAAACACACCTGCAGTGAGCTGAAATGATGCAGAAGAAGTTAAACAATTCTCACCTGCACATTTGTCTGAAGCGGCTGTGGCGGTGGTTGTTGTTGTTGTTGTTGTTGTTGTTGTTGCTGTTGTTGTTGCTGCTGCTGCTGATTGATCATCCCAGGATTTAAACTCTGTCCTGTGGTCTGAGAGCTCATAGACTGCAATATCATAAAGGTTCAGTTAGGGAAAAAATAAATAAAAGAAATTATATACATAAGAACATCTTTAAATAAACTGTCAGAATTTAGTCTTTCCATAAACATCCTTGATACAGTTTCAAATAATATCATCCAAAAAATCTTGGCACAAACTCTTTCTCACATTGATGAAACGTAGTAAAATTAGAAGTAATTGTCTGCTATGTATCATTTTCAGCCAATCTCAACTTACCTGACTGCTGATTGATGAGCGCCGCTGTGATGTCATCTCCATGGTGGAAGCTAGTGACTGTCGAGGAGGCGTGGCCATCTCCATGTGTAGTTTGGGGGCTGTTGCTGCTGAGACAGAATTGATGATGAACAACAGTCAAACTCTGTTGACTCCAACTAAACTTCACACAACAGACAGACTAGCCTAGCCTAATTCACACAACATGTGGACAATAAACGCAACTACATTTGTACTTACAAGTGCAAGTGTTGTCAGAGACGTGCGATGAGGATTTGCGGGAACTTCGTGATGACGTCGAGGGAGTTCGGCTGCGGTCAAACCTTTCCAGAGCCTCTTTCAGACTGGACGTATTGAGCTGCGACTCTGAGCCAGAATCCTGACTCTAGAAAAGAAAAAAAAAGTCATTTTATTTTTACTGGATGCAGAGAAAAATAACAGGCCTGATGTGTAAGAAAGGAAAGCGTGATTTCTGACCAAAGCGGTTGACAAAAGGTTCATGTTTGCTGCAGTAAAGTACTTCACATTCTCAGTAAACTTTACTGAACAGTACACGTTTCATAAATTATAAAAAATAATTTTATTTATACACAGTGTGTTCATGCATACATGTTAAAGAGTGGCCAGCTTCGATAAGCATCTTTGAAAGTAAACTCATTCTTTTAGACTGGATCAGGATCATAATGTATTTCCAGGACTACAAAAATATTTTTACATCTCAACGAATGCATTCATGCACTGGTGCAAAATATTTGGACCAGCTGCTGCGCTGTAGGTAGAGTCTCAAAGATTTAAGTACTGCTAAAGCTACTGGTCTATTGAAATTGAAGGATGATTTAATATCAAAATAAACCAGCTTAATAAAGACTGTGACAAGTGAGTCACTGTATGTCTGTATAAGACACATCAGGCCACTGGGTGGCGCCGTTTGTAAAGTACATTGAACTTCAATCCACTTTTTTAAAAGTTTTTCCATACAAGGCTGGTGATTGTTGATTCAGTGACATTATATCACTTTGTGCCCATCAGGACAAAAACATTTACGCAAGTAATACATCAGGAGTTTAATTTTTGGCTAGTAAACAGAGGGGGCTAGGACTTTATTACTATGTATGTCAAGACTTTTAGTCATATAGTTGATTAGGGTCTAACCAAAGTTACTGTAGACTGAAGCAACAAATTCAACTTCACACTTATTTGTTTACATTTAGTTCACACACTGGACTGTTTGTGCCTTTTTAATGAACTAGATTGTATGAAATGAATAACCCACTTCTAGAGGCTGTGTGTTACCTTATCATTGGGGGCCTCTGGATTAGACTCTTCAATGCCCAACTCTCTGCGTTGTTCTGCTCTAACCTCTGCATAGCTGTTTTACACAACAGAAACATGTATTTTAGGAACAATTAGAAGCAAAGAGCTAACTTGTATAAAAGAAGAGAGGTGGTGCAAAAAAACAAGAAAAATGAAAGCTTTCAGATGTGATGTTGTTGAACTGATTGTACCTGACTACTGTGTGTGTGCAAACAATAAACTCAGGCCGCGAGTTCCACTGATGATAGGTGATGTAGTAGTGTGTCTGCAGCCAGATCCACTGTTGACCTTTAGTCAGGAAACGATAGTAACAGGACTTCCCTTTCCCATACTGCATCACTGGGAAGGACAAGGGTGGAGACAGTAAGGATTTTACAAGCAGAAAAATATGACTTTAAATAGACGTGAATTAAAGAGAACATGTAAGAGCCTCACAGTGTTCGTGACATTTGGCCAGAGTCTCCAGGTCATCCACGTGGTAATAGTCATACCCTGATGTTCCCAGAACCTCAAAAGGCAGGTAGCCTATTATTGGTGGAGCTCTGAAAAAAATTAATAAGAACAATAGGTCACTGCTGTGAATGGTGCATTTTTATATAGTTTTACCTAGCCTGCATCTCACTACTTCAGGTCTAATAGTTTCTCTCGAATCCTCCAGAGTGCAGAGTAAAACCATCTAAACTCACATTGGTTTTCATTGTATCTGAGCTCAGAATTTTCTCTTGAAAGTAAAGGGTCTTTTTAACTTACTATTTAACATAAAACAATGTAGACAAAAAAAGTGTGTGACCATCAGTTGCTTCAGTACGAAGAGTTCAGGATTTATTTAAATATGATTAATAGTTTTTGCACAGAGACTAGTGAGGTGCCCAATCCATTTTTCCCTAATCAGAGTAGAAAGAAACTGTTGGACTCAGATGAGGAAAAAAAATCTGAGCAGGTAGAAATAGAAAGTAGGAAAGTTGTTGCAACAGGTTTCACAGGTTTAGGCAGAATAAAATGTTGTGTTGCAACAGGGGGCTGTTGCTGGACAAAACAGTGAATAAAGCAGTGGTCAGTGACCTGAAGCACCATGACCTCTGCAGTCCTGCCTGTGGTGAAGTTTTGAACCAGAATGAGGTCGACTTGTTTGCCAGTTTGGTGAGATGGATGGCGGCAAATCATTTTCAGGTCAAAAGAGCAGATCAGAAGAAGAATTTCAGCACAGCTCTGACTGTCTAAGTCAGTTTCAAATATTCTATTATACACCCCTCTAAAAAAATAAAATAAAACCTTTCAGGCCCACACTTGACTCAATAAGACTTAAAGTGAATCAAGTTTAACTGAAACTGCCCAAAAAAGATACAAATAAGTGAAGATTTACATAATTTGTTTAGTCATAATGTCAAAAAACTTATTTTGGGTGATTCGACTGTAACTGGTCATGACTGAGAGCGTTCACATGTGGCAGTTTAAATGTGCATCACAAAACATTTTGTAATCTGATGTTAATTATCTGTTCTGTATGACGATACACACAGCCACATTACACAGAGATCCGTCAGTGGGACACAAACAGGAAATCAGCAAAACAGCTGAAGTATCTGTAATAATGGCAAAACATTCTGACATCTAGACAATAACATGGTTCAGAGCCTTCTGAGTCGCATTTATGAAGAATTATCGCTTGATGAGCCCAATTACCTAACAGACCCAATTAGGGGGTAATAAGACATTTTTTTAAAGAACAATCCAAAGAGAACTGCACTTTGCTGACCGAATCAAACAGACCACAAAAAATGCATGCTTTAACCACTCGATGTTGATGCAATGTGAGAGTCATATGACTTAACATTCTTGTTTGTGTGGAACATCAAGACAAAAGAGGATTTGTATAGTAAAGATAAAAATTAAGGCATATGAGTCATTCACAATAAAAGCTGTCAGTGGCATACATATCCATATTGGTTAATGCAACGTTACAGTCACTGCTGAACATAAAATGTAGATCCAAACACTCTTATATCTAAAATATCTTTAGACAAAATGTGTGTTGAGCTTTAACCTACCTTCCATAGAGTTCAGAAAACAAATCTATTTGTAGCTCAAGGAGCAAAGCACTGTTTAAGTTTGACTATTTGAATGCTTACCTATGGTCTAAGAAGAGAAATTTCCACTCTAGACTGTGCCTTGAGGTAAATTCTTCATTTGGCTCTTCTACTGTACACATTTCCTACAAACACAAAAGTAAACGTGCATCTTTGAGAGCAGGTTCTTTGAAGGAAAAAGACATAATTGTGACTTTAGTAAAAGTGTTTAGACAGTACCTTGATAAACTGAGGTTTGGCCAATCGAACTGTGGCTACAAAGCACACCTGGTCATCAAAGGCAGGCTGCAGCGATCGCTGTAACACCCCCGCCAGACCATTCCTTGCAACGTTGGGAACTGCACAACACAGAACAGTTGTTTGTTTTGTGATTAAAGGAAAATATGACGTGGCTCTGGGCTCTTCTGAATTTAGAGCAAGGAAGGACTTCTGCCAACACAACTTGGAGCTTCAAAGAATATTGATTTGATGTATTTATTTAACAGGAAAAGATTATTAAAAATCAAGCCTGACTCAGCATTATTGCTGTTTTACAGCAGGTTCCTGTTCTGCAGCACATAAAACACTCAGAATTACAGCATCACAATCACATCATTATATGCCATAGACACAAAGACAAACAAGCATACCAAATTTCAAAAAGGCAGCATTTGCAAAATAGGACATCTAAATATGAGCACAACAAAAAGTGTCCAGCAGATGGCAGACAAGATTCTTCTTAATGGGCTGTAGTTTTGAAATGGACTTTATGTTTTGAGG